TCAGCTCTCACCTCCACCCCTGCAGCCCTTCCCCGGTAGCCTGGCACTGACGCCTCTGCCAAGAGCTTTCCCAGCCTGTTGCTGTCGCAGCTGCTCCGATGGGCACTCAGACATGCTGTGGCTTTTCAGAGAGGGGAGTCAGGACAGTGGACTATGTCTTCCTTCTCCCTGGAGGGTGCGAGAGCATCATGCATCCTGCACAGGGTGGAGGCTGCTGTATGTCCCTTGCAGAATGGATCTGGGCTGCAGCTCTCCTTTGGTGAGACACCATACGTGCTGGCTGGGCCCTGGTGCACCCAAGGGCTGGCGAGGAGCTGCCATCCCCCAAGCTCAGCCAGCCCCATTCCATGGAGCCTTGCTGTGGAGGAGACAGCCTGACCATGCTACAGAAGGGACTGCAGAGCACCAGGGCAGATGGCAGTGAGACCCCCCCCCCAACCCCTCGGCAGCTTGAGCAAGAGCAGAGCTAGGGCTCTTCCTCATCTTTGCTGTATCCAGCCTAGCCAAGGGGCAGGGCAGCCCTGCAGCCATCCCCACTGCCCAGGCCCCTCTGCTCTAACCTTCAGCACTAATCCCAGGCCTGGCTGGAAGCTGCTCCTAGGAGGGTTCAGACACCCTAAATCATCCCCAGGTATAGCTGGCAGCTCTGGAAGGAGAAAGCACAGCCTCCTCAGCCAGCAGTACCCCATCCCAGGAGGGTGTCAGGGGGCTGAGTGACCATCTCCACCAGGCCAGTGTGGGGCAGCTGAGGATGCACATGGAGCAGATATCCCACCTTCAGAAGCACTACTTTAGTGCTGCACCCTCCTCTCCAGGCCAGCATCTTCCCTCCTGCCCCATCACCTCCCTCATGCCCTCCATGAGCCCTGAGCCCTGCAGCGTGCACCTGGGTGACATCCAGTCCTGGGGACCAGGAGAACCGAAACCCTCAGTGCTGCATTGCACTGGGTGCACAGGGCTGCATGTAGCCAGAATTCACATTGCCCCCGCTGCACCACAGTGCGGGGAGGACAGCCTGCCTGCAACGCTGACCAGCAGGCAATGGGTTAAAGCTGCTGCAGGTAGCCTGTGGCTGAGGCTCCTGGTCCAGGGAAGACCTGGCAGGGGAGACCTTCTCTGCTCTGCTGATGCAGCCCCAGCCCCCATAGTCCTTGAGGTTGTCTCGAAGAAAGGCAGTTCAGCCCCAGGGCCAGAGGAAACACAGGGAAAGCTTTTATTGGTATCTCCCAGCCAACATCAGCTCTGTTAAAAAAATGCTTCATGTCTCAGAGAGCTGTTTAACACAACTCAAGCAGCAATTGGTACAGGGACAGCAAACCAGGCTGCATCTGCTCAGCCCCAGTCACAAGCTCCCTGCTTCCTCCGTGTGTGTGATCAAGTGTGTGTGCGCATGTGTGTGCGCTAGACACAGGCATCTGCTCCCAGCATCTCGCTGTCTCCTGCATCCTCCGGCAGCAAGTGCAGGGCTCTGGCTCCCCACGTACCAGCCTCACCGCTCCCT